AAAAGGGTCCCCCCTTATGAAATATTTTCTGAAAATCATGAAAAAAAAAGTTGCAAAAATATTTTTTCCTTACTAATTCGAGCACGCTGATTCCAAAAAATCAAACCGCACTTTCGTATCTCTTCTCGTTCGGAAGTTACACTCGAAAATCGCGATATTTTTTTCAAAAGAGTCCCCCCTTATGAAATATTTTCTGAAAAACATGAAAAAAAAAGTTGCAAAAATAATTTTTCCTTACTAATTCCAGCACGCTGATTCCAAAAAATCAAACCGCACTTTCGTATCTCTTCTCGTTCGGAAGTTACACTCGAAAATCGCGATATTTTTTTCAAAAGGGTCCCCCCTTATGAAATATTTTCTGAAAATCATGAAAAAAAAAGTTGCAAAAATATTTTTTCCTTACTAATTCGAGCACGCTGATTCCAAAAAATCAAACCGCACTTTCGTATCTCTTCTCGTTCGGAAGTTACACTCGAAAATCGCGATATTTTTTTCAAAAGAGTCCCCCCTTATGAAATATTTTCTGAAAAACATGAAAAAAAAAGTTGCAAAAATAATTTTTCCTTACTAATTCCAGCACGCTGATTCCAAAAAATCAAACCGCACTTTCGTATCTCTTCTCGTTCGGAAGTTACACTCGAAAATCGCGATATTTTTTTCAAAAGGGTCCCCCCTTATGAAATATTTTCTGAAAAACATGAAAAAAAAAGTTGCAAAAATATTTTTTCCTTACTAATTCCAGCACGCTGATTCCAAAAAATCAAACCGCACTTTCGTATCTCTTCTCGTTCGGAAGTTACACTCGAAAATCGCGATATTTTTTTCAAAAGGGTCCCCCCTTATGAAATATTTTCTGAAAAACATGAAAAAAAAAGTTGCAAAAATAATTTTTCCCTACTAATTCGAGCACGCTGATTCCAAAAAATCAAACCGCACTTTCGTATCTCTTCTCGTTCGGAAGTTACACTCGAAAATCGCGATATTTTTTTCAAAAGGGTCCCCCCTTATGAAATATTTTCTGAAAAACATGAAAAAAAAAGTTGCAAAAATATTTTTTCCTTACTAATTCGAGCACGCTGATTCCAAAAAATCAAACCGCACTTTCGTATCTCTTCTCGTTCGAAAGTTACACTCGAAAATCGCGATATTTTTTTCAAAAGGGTCCCCCCTTATGAAATATTTTCTGAAAAACATGAAAAAAAAAGTTGCAAAAATATTTTTTCCTTACTAATTCCAGCACGCTGATTCCAAAAAATCAAACCGCACTTTCGTATCTCTTCTCGTTCGGAAGTTACACTCGAAAATCGCGATATTTTTTTCAAAAGGGTCCCCCCTTATGAAATATTTTCTGAAAATCATGAAAAAAAAAGTTGCAAAAATAATTTTTTCCAAAAAATCAAACCGCACTTTCGTATCTCTTCTCGTTCGGAAGTTACACTCGAAAATCGCGATATTTTTTTCAAAAGGGTCCCCCCTTATGAAATATTTTCTGAAAAACGTGAAAAAAAAGTTGCAAAAATAATTTTTCCTTACTAATTCGAGCACGCTGATTCCAAAAAATCAAACCGCACTTTCGTATCTCTTCTCGTTCGGAAGTTACACTCGAAAATCGCGATATTTTTTTCAAAAGGGTTCCCCCTTATGAAATATTTTCTGAAAATCATGAAAAAAAAAGTTGCAAAAATAATTTTTCCTTACTAATTCGACTCCGCTGATTCCAAAAAATCAAACCGCACTTTCGTATCTCTTCTCGTTCGGAAGTTACACTCGAAAATCGCGATATTTTTTTCAAAAGGGTTCCCCCTTATGAAATATTTTCTGAAAATCATGAAAAAAAAAGTTGCAAAAATAATTTTTCCTTACTAATTCGACTCCGCTGATTCCAAAAAATCAAACCGCACTTTCGTATCTCTTCTCGTTCGGAAGTTACACTCGAAAATCGCGATATTTTTTTCAAAAGGGTCCCCCCTTATGAAATATTTTCTGAAAATCATGAAAAAAAAAGTTGCAAAAATAATTTTTCCTTACTAATTCGACTCCGCTGATTCCAAAAAATCAAACCGCACTTTCGTATCTCTTCTCGTTCGGAAGTTACACTCGAAAATCGCGATATTTTTTTCAAAAGGGTCCCCCCTTATGAAATATTTTCTGAAAATCATGAAAAAAAAAGTTGCAAAAATAATTTTTCCTTACTAATTCGACTCCGCTGATTCCAAAAAATCAAACCGCACTTTCGTATCTCTTCTCGTTCGGAAGTTACACTCGAAAATCGCGATATTTTTTTCAAAAGGGTTCCCCCTTATGAAATATTTTCTGAAAATCATGAAAAAAAAAGTTGCAAAAATAATTTTTCCTTACTAATTCGACTCCGCTGATTCCAAAAAATCAAACCGCACTTTCGTATCTCTTCTCGTTCGGAAGTTACACTCGAAAATCGCGATATTTTTTTCAAAAGGGTCCCCACGGCTAGCTGGAAAGCATGTCAACTTAAAGGTGCTTGCACCTCCAATTTTTCTGCAAATCTTTTTTTCGATATGTCTCACGAACAATTTAAGTTCAAAAATAAAAAAATCGGTTGAGCCGTTTTTGTTGAATTGGAAATTATTTATATATATTTAAATATTATTATTTTTTGTTGAATTGGAAATTTTACATTGCAAGTTTGGTTCGCTGAGGAGGCTCTGGAATGGAATGGAATGGAAGTAAATTATTTTTTCTGGTGTCAAGTACCTGTCAGTTTATTGCAGCGTCATTGATTGTTTACTTTTGGCTTAATTTTTGGATGAATTTGTGCAGTTAAAAAATAATATAAAATGACAAAAGATCATGCAGGAACTCACGAAGAAAATCGCCGAAAGGTATGCCTTTTATGCTTTGGAAAAACTAAAGCAATGATTGAGATTCGTGGAAAACTTAAAACTGACGTGGCAAATATTTTTGACTATGATCCCCCCTTATGAAATATTTTCTGAAAAACATGAAAAAAAAAGTTGCAAAAATAATTTTTCCTTACTAATTCCAGCACGCTGATTCCAAAATATCAAACCGCGGTTTCGTAACTCTTCGCATTTGGGAGCTACAATCGAAAACCACGATATTTTTTGTAAAAAAAAAAACACCCAAATTGTTGTACTTTTTTTAATACATATAAAAGCAAGAACATTTTTATTATTTTACAAAAGAAGTAACAAAATACTTTGCTATTAGTTTTATATGTTCAGTGTTTTAAATTTCAGAAATTCAACATTTTATTTAATATTTAATCAATAAATTTCATGTGATGTGTAAAAATTTTACCCAACATTGGAATGTTAAATACAAAGTGTTTTCACAACTTTGTACATACAATTACTATAAATGCAATGCTGAATTCTATACAGATTTAATTACCTAAATATAATAATATACATAGTTTTATTTTTTATAATTAACAATTTAAAGCAAATATAATGTTTAGTAGAAATTTTGCGTTTTGGACTATAATGCTATAGGTCCAGTTCAATTCAAATTCAATAATTCAATACAATAAATTTTCTGCAATCAATAATATTTTTTTACATTTTGTACTTATAAGCATTCAGTGATGCCACAACAAAGAAATAATTTAAATTATTTCCAAATTAGTGTATACAAACAACAGACAAAAACTGGACTAAAGATAAACTGAGAGACAGTATAAAAATTTCTCTGTAAAAAGGTGTGCCGCACGGGTCCTAAACTGGTCCCCGACGTGTTTGTATAATGTAATATAGTCCAGGACACAAAGGTTGTAGAAGTAAAACTCGATGGTAGTAGGGTGTTATTTTTTTTATGGGAGTTTTTTGCTTTTTGGCTCATAACTCGCTAACCGTGATTTTTTTCAGAATTTGACCTCTAATACTTTTGATTATGTACTAAAAAAGGCACACTTTAAACCCCATTGCGCGCCTATATGATGTGCCCTTTTGCTGAAAATTTTGCATTTAAGGCTTTTCAGGTTATGTATCTGTCAAAGTATAGTCAATGAAAGAAATAATATTTATAGTGTTACCGCTTATGTTTAAGCGTTAAAAGTTAATAAATCTTTATAGTATCACAATAACAATGGTTGTTTTAAGAATTTAGGAATATAAATACTGCATTTAATGAAATTCCAAAGTGGAAGGTGCAATATAAGTGATATTTTTGTGCATTGGGTCTACGTTTCTCCATAAAATAGTTTTAACTAAAGAGAATTTATTAAAAAAAACTAACTTCTCTATTATGAAATAAGAATATTTGTATCAAAGGTAGGTTAATGTATTAGAACAAAAAATATCATCTAATTTTGTATTTTAAGGTTAGAAAAATCTATTTTGACCAAAATAAATAAGTGGATTATTTAGAAGAGTGTGTTAATATGGTCATAAATAAATATAGGTATACTAAATAATTGTTGAATATGGTTCAAATTAAATTGAAGCTTTTATACTTCTAATGAAAAAACTTGTGCATACCTCTCAGCATACTTACTTTAAGTTAGATTATAAGAAAACAAACAATTTTTAGAGAAACTTACAATGTGAAAATATTTAATATCCCCATGACATGTGATTTATGAAAATTTTTAAAGTTTTAATGATTTTTTGATGTAGATCAAATTCAGTCGAAGCTTTTTAACTATTTGTATTGACAAAACTTTATGTAGGTACACTTTAAGCTGGATAAAAAAAACTACCACATTTTTAAATACCAAATTATAGTCTTTTAAATAATCCAAAATACTTATTTATTTTGGTCAAAATAAATTTTTCTAACCTTAAAATTACAAAATTAGATGATATTTTTGTTATAATATATTAACCTACCTTTAATACAGATATTCTTATTCCATAATGGAGAAGCTAGATTTTTTTAAATAAATGCTGTTTAGTTAAAATTATTTTATGGAGAAAACCAGATATTTGGACCAAATGCACAAAAATATTACTTATTTGGCACCATACACTTTAGAATTTCATTAAATGCAGTAGTTATATTCTTAAATTCTTAAACCATCCATTGTTATTGTAATGTTATAAAGATTTATACATTTTTAACGCCTAAACATAATATTATTTCTTTTGTTGACTATACTTTGACAGATAAATAACTTAAATGCCAAATTTTCGATTACTTTTAAAATTGGGCTTTAATAAAAAAAAACCAAAAGAGCACTTTTGTATATAAACTTTTTTGTAAAGCAAAAAAAACTCCCCTTTCGGGGGAAGAAATTAGGGGACGCGGAAAGAAATTTTTGGGGAATATTCTTGATTCATTACCAGCACCCCTGACTCTACAAAAAAAAATAAAACCCGACTACTATCGAGTTTTCCTTCCACAATCTTTGTTTCCTGGACTAATAGAAGAAAAACAAAAAACAATAAATAAAATACACTGGTTCACACAATTGAAATTATTTAAGATTTTTGTGAACCGGCGTAAAATTGAGCTAAAATGGGCGGAATTGATTTACTTCCCAAATTGCTCGCTAAAATATAATGAACTAGAAATGTTTTGTTTTATTTTGTTTTGCAGTTGGCAACATCCACAATTACTTAAGTAAAAGACGATTGATGTTGAATCAACAAAAAATGTAAAATAAATCTTTGGCACCATTCATATTTAATAATAATACACTGGGCGTTTCAAGAAAATTCTCGAAATCGTTATTCTTAGGCCTAAAAAAATCATTACGTGCCCTTAAAAAGTATGCAGTGTTGCCAAGCCTAATTAAATTCCCTTCGGCGGTGTTGAAAATTGCCCAAAGGTCCAAGCGATAAATTTTGCCTAACTTTCCGGTTTTTCTCTGAAAAAAAATATGACAAAAAAATTACAATTTTTTTCAGAAAATAATTCAAATATTTACTGTGATTTGGAGTCTTCTGAATAGTCGTCGCTTGATGATCTAATGTCACCTTCCATTTGACCGGCATTGAGGGAATTGTAGGCGATTTTCAAAATGAGATAAGTCCAGAATATGTGCAACACTAAAAGTAAACAAAGCAGGCTGTTGAAGATGTAGTAGGCAGGGAACATGGGGACCATTTTGGGGGCTTCTATCGACGTGCTGAAAAAAAAGATTGATAAGATAGCTACAGATATTTTATATATTATTATACACTCACAGGCAAAATATTCGATCCACTCAAATTTTCGATGAATTTCAATCGCAAATAACTTTTTTATTTGATGTCGGATTTAAACGAATATTAAAAAATATTATAGATAAATTAATGGACAATCGCTCACATTTTAAAAAATTACTAAAAAATAGATGAACGTTTATAATATACAGGTTTAAACAAAAATATAATTTTTACCATAAGTTTAAGACACTCTGTAGAGTGGCAAAACCGTATATTGTTCTAAATTAAGTTTTATTGATCAAGTCACATCTATTTTTAACAGTTTTGTTTTTGGTTCACCTCGATATATTTATTTTTGTGGAAAATATGGATTTTTTTTTAAAAACATTGCAATTTCCAATATTTTTCCTGTATAAAGAACTAAGGTTGCTATGGTCCATCCATAGCCTATGGAGAATGACAGTGACAGTTTTGTTGAATCATCCCATACTTGGACATGTCATATACAGCTTTCAAAAGCTATCAATTTTTTTTTTGTAAATTAATGTGTTAATTTTAAGGTGTCTTTGTTCTTCATACAGAAAAATATTGAAAATTGCAATGTTTTTTTAAAAAATCCAAATTTTCCACTGAAACATATATATCGAGGTGAGTCAAAAACAAAACTGTTAAGAATAGATGTGACTTATAAATATAACTTAATTTAGAACAATATACGGTTTTGCCACTCTACAGAGTGTCTTAAACTTATGGTTAAAAACATCTTTTTGTTTAAACCTGTATATTATAAACGTACGTCTATTTTTTAGTAATTTTTTAAAATGTGAGCGATTGTACATTAATTTATCTACAATATTCTTTAATATTCGTTTAAATCCGATATCAAATAAAAAAGTTATTTGCGATTGAAATTCATCGAAAATTTGTGTGGATCGATTATTTTGAACGTGAGTGTATATATAAATATTATATTGTATATATTTTGTATGTGTTGTCATTACTTAGCGATTTTTAGTATTCGCTAAACGAGATAGAACAGACTATTTTACATACTTTCTTATGATCCAGAAGGGGAATATTCCTATTCTGGTGACTATCCATAGCACTGTGAATATGGCGAAGATCGTATCACATATTTTCTGATATCCGGAATATTTTGCCATTTTGGCAGCCTGAAATTAAAAAAAAGATTAATTTAATTAAGAAAAATATGTTTTATAGGTATAAAAATACTTTCAATTAAAAAAAATAGTGAGTGAATCTAATAGAGTGTGTGTGTGTCACCAAATAAGTTATCATCCTTTAAGAGGATGATGGTACACGCCAAAATACGAAAGTTTTTTCATAAAAAAATCATTAAAATTAAGGTACTATGGTCCACACCTCAAAGTCCCACCACGTGACCACGTACGGAACGCAGTCTTTTGAAAATTTGACATTTAAGGCTTTTCAGGTTATGTATCTGTCAAAGTATAGTCAACGAAAGAAATAATATTATGTTTAGGCGTTAAAAATGTATAAATCTTTATAACATTAGAATAACAATGGATGGTTTAAGAATTTAAGAATATAAATACTGCATTTAATGAAATTCTAAAGTGTATGGTGCCAAATAAGTCATATTTTTGTGCATTTGGTCCAAATATCTGGTTTTCTCCATAAAATAATTTTAACTAAACAACATTTATTTAAAAAAATCTAGCTTCTCTATTATGGAATAAGAATATCTGTATTAAAGGTAGGTTAATATATTATAACAAAAATATCATCTAATTTTGTAATTTTAAGAAAAATTTATTTAGACCAAAATAAATAAGTATTTTGGATTATTTAAAAGACTGTATAATATGGTATTTAAAAATGTGGTAGTTTTTCTTATCCAGCTTAAAGTGTACCTACATAAAGTTTTGTCAATACAAATAGTTAAAAAGCTTCGACTGAATTTGATCTACATCAAAAAATCATTATAACTTTAAAAATTTTAATAAATCACATGTCATGGGAGTATTAAAAATTTTCACATTGCAAGTTTCTCTAAAAATTGTTTGTTTTCTTATAATCTGAACTTAAAGTAGGTATGCCGAGAGGTATGCACAAGTTTTGTCGTTAGAAGTATAAAAGCTTCAATTTAATTTGAACCATATTCAACAATTATTTAGTATACCTATATTTATTTATGACCATATTAACACACTCTTTCAAATAATCCACTTATTTATTTTGGTCAAAATAGATTTTTCTAACCTTAAAATACAAAATTAGATGATATTTTTTGTTTTAATACATTAACCTACCTTTGATACAGATATTCTTATTTCATAATAGAGAATTTAGATTTTTTTTAATAAATCCTGTTTAGTTAAAACTATTTTATGGAGAAATGTAGAGGCAATGCACAAAAATATCACTTATATTGCACCTTACACTTTGGAATTTCATTAAATGCAGTATTTATATTCCTAAATTCTTAAACCAACCATTGTTATTGTGATACTATAAAGATTAATTAACTTTTAACGCTTAAACATAAGCGGTAACACTATAAATATTATTTCTTTCATTGACTATACTTTGACAGATACATAACCTGAAAAGCCTTAAATGCCAAATTTTCAAAAGACTGCGTTCCGTACGTGGTCACGTGGTGGGACTTTGAGGTGTGGGGCATAGTACTTTAGCTACTGTTTGTAATAATTTGTTGACCCACCTCTAAGAAGATGTCAGCACTGTCGTGCACGACGAGCACCAGACTGCCCACTCGCCACACGTTCACCACCCAGCTGAGACACATCAGCACGATGGTGGCGATGTGGTGAATGAACATCTGCCAGAAGTCTTTGCGTTTCACGTCGAAGAACTGGGAGACGCATAGCGACCAGTAAAACGACATCGAGATCATGTAGTACCACCAGATGTCGCTGGTGACCGACTGGTGCGGGAAACCGTTCCTGAAAAGAATACAAAGATTAAGTGCCTCTTGCCTTTTACCTAAATACAAATTTTCGATGAATTTCAATCGCAAATAACTTGTTTATTTGATGTCGGATTTAAACGAATATTAAAGAATATTGTAGATAAATTAATGGACAATCGCTCACATTTTAAAAAATTACTAAAAAATAGACGTACGTTTATAATATACAGGTTTAAACAAAAAGATGTTTTTTACCATAAGTTTAAGACACTCTGTAGAGTGGCAAAACCGTATATTGTTCTAAATTAACTTTTAATTATCAAGTCACATCTATTTTTAACAGTTTTATTTTTGGTTCACCTTGATATATTTATTTTGGTGGAAAATATGGATTTTTTTAAAAAAACATTGCAATTTCCAATATTTTTCCTGTATGAAGAACCAAGGTTGCTATGGTCCATTCATAGCCTATGGAGGATGACAGTGACAGTTTTGTTGAATCATCCCATACTTGGACATGTCATATACATCTTTCAAAAGCTATCAAATTGTTTTTTGTAAATTAATGTGTTAATTTTAAGGTGTCTTCATACTTTTAAAAATGTCTCCGACTGATGTTGCCCTTTGTACTTTACTTCTTGTGACGTTTAAAACACTTGCCACGTAATACTGTAACCGTCCATCCAGGATTAAATTAATGGCTCTGGCAACATCAGTCGGAGACATATACATTTTTTAAAGTAAGAAGACACCTCAAAATTTAAACATTAATTTGCAAAAAACAAATAAAAAAAAATAATAAATAAAGTTTTTATTGCATATTCAGTACAATACAGAACATATATACAAAATATACAAAAGGCCATCGACCGGGGTCCTTCAGCCTGTTACAAACTACTTTAAGTGATACAAAAAAAAAAACTAATTATTATTAGATAATTGTAAGATTATTTCCAGTATTGTATTTTCCGGGAATTTTGTGGCATTTTCATCGACTTCTCTGGTGATGCATAATTGTGATAGTATCTCCATGTTGTGATCCTTAGCAGCAAACTTAGTTGAAAGATTTTTTAATCTTTTAAGAATTGGAACTTTGATTTTTAATGTTTGATAAAGAAGGCCATTGGGAGGATTGTGAAGAGGGTTTAGGGGATGGCGGAGTTTGGAGATTGTTCTTAGGGCTGTTGTTTCCGCAGTTGCAATATTATTTAGGGCTGGTTTTCGACAGTTTAGTAAAACTGGGTGGCAGTATTCCAGAAGGGGGCGGCAGATGGCTTTGTACACGATAGCTGCAGTTTTCATATTTATTCCACCCCATCTGTTGGTTAGTCCTGTAAATAGTTTGGCTCTTGCGACTGTTCTTTGTTTTGCCGTTTTGGTATGGAGATTAAGATTAAGTTTGTTAGCAAAAAAAACAATTTGATAGCTTTTGAAAGCCGTGTATGACATGTCCAAGTATGGGATGATTCAACAAAACTTACTGTCATTCTCCATAGCCTATAGATGGACCATAGCAACCTTAGTTCTTCATACAGAAAAATATTGGAAATTGCAATGTATTTTTTAAAAATCCATATTTTCCACCAAAATAAATATATCGAGGTGAACCAAAAACAAAACTATTAAGAATAGATGTGACTTGATAAATAAAACTTAATTTAGAACAATATACGGTTTTGCCACTCTACAGAGTGTCTTAAACTTATGGTAAAAAACATCTTTTTGTTTAAACCTGTATATTATAAACGTACGTCTATTTTTTAGTAATTTTTTAAAATGTGAGCGATTGTCCATTAATTTATCTGCAATATTCTTTAATATTTGTTTAAATCCGACATCAAATAAACAAGTTATTTGCGATTGAAATTTATCGCAAATTTGTGTGGATCGATTATTTTGCCTGTGAGTGTATTATATCAAAGCTTTATTACAATCTTTAAAAATATGTTTCGGATAATGGGAGTTTTCACTAAGGTTAATTGTTCTTAGAACCTTATCCCTGATAGCAAACTTTATTCTAAGAATGATTTTTAAACCTTCCAGTGGGAATATTCTTAGGATCATGCTATATTTCTTCTAAAGAACATGCTTAAAAGACATATAGCATGATCCTAAGAATATTCTTACTGGCCTATAGGCAGGTTCTTAGAAGGTGCAAAGTTTTAGTGGTAAAAATTAGTCTACTCTAAACATATTGTAAGTACCTAATTAGTAATTAGTATTAAATACTAAGAAAAAAACACAATCCAAAATATTTTTTTATAGTTATTTGTCAAATTAAAACAATATTCGATAACAAAAATATTCGATAACAAAAATACTTTTACTTTAGGTATTTTATTTTATGTTAAAAATAAATATTTATTAATTTGTATACCGATTTTTTATTTCTGAATTAACATTTTTATGTATAATAAACCTAAATATCGTCAACTTCAATCTAATCTAACTTATCCCACAAAATTTTCCAATTTTTTCTTTTTATGAAATAATTTTTATTTAATATTTTTAAATAAATATATGTTAATATGTCGCAAAATTTTTTAAGGGGACGACAAATACATTTCACTGTCATATTATGACAGTGAGGCGTATTTGTCGTCTCCTGAAGAATTTTACGAATGTAGATTACAACATATTAGAACGTGGGTATCTGACATATTTGGAAATTTTCTCAAAAGCTTCCTAGAAGCTCCATAAGAAACCTTCTAAGAACATTCCAAAAACGTATTCTTAAAATGTTCTTAGGATTCTTTTTAGGACGGTTTTAAGAAGCTTTTAAGAATCTAATTGCATCATTAAAAGGGTATCTATTGAATGTTTTAAAAGTCCCTAAGAACATTCTTAGCAATAAGGGAAGGTTCTAAGAATATTTCATTATTCCGGGTCATATCTTCTTAGAAGATTCTTAAAATCAAATTTTGCTATCAGGGATAACTGTCATATACATTTTGTCGCACGCGGACAATTTAATGGACGAGCGCGACAAAAGGTCTTATGACATGAGTTATTTATGCTATTTAATCTATTTTGCAAAAAATCTATAAAAAAAAAATTTTATACCTTAAATTTAATTTGCTCGAATTTTACTTTAGATAGTTGGTATCACAGTCATTAGTTTGACAGTTGATGTCAAAATCGATTCGCCATGCCGTCCATAATTTACTTATTTACAATAAGCGGCTGTTAATGTTAAAGAAGAAAAAAATGATTTTCTTTGGTGTTAAACAAAATTTATTGCCAGAAAAGTCTCGTAAGTACTAGAAAAATCGTAAAAATATTATAACCAATACGCAAAATATTATGCTGTTTAAAGTATAGCCAACCTATAAAATCAATGGCAGGCAGTATACAAGTATCAAGGCGCATTTCGTTTTTGACAGTTGCAGTGACATTTCTTTATGCAGTTTTATTTAAAATCTTAAAATGTGTTGAAAAAACGAATTATTACGTTCTGTAGAACGAATAAAGCCCACTACAAAGAAAAATATTAAACAAGGTATTGGAGGCAAAAAAAATTTTTTTTAATAATTTACTTTAAAAACGCAACTTTAATATTTTTTTACTAGGAAACCAGACTAAAACTTTGTAAATGTTTTTTAAGTAGACTCTACTAAAACCTAGAATTTTTTCAACATTTTCGCAGAAAGAAGACAAAAGAAATATATAAATCCTAAAAAAATAGTTACCTAATAAGTATTACCAGGTGTTAAAAAATAATCGCAAATATGCTTCATGAATACAGACTATTTATAATAAAAATAAATAAATATTTATAATATACATTTATTTTAAGAATTCCCAATGCAGATGTTCAACGAACTAAAATTAATCGAATTACCTACTTAATATTCCCTGTGACATAACCTGATTAAACGTTAAAAGGTTTAAAAATAAACCAAAGTAAATCACGATTTTTTTAAATTAAAATCTATATATAAAAAGTAAAATATCTACACGTTAAAAAACATCATTTCAAAAAGTTAGGTTTTTCCATTTTCATTTTCAAAAAAATTTGGGTAGCTTATTATTTATTTAATAATTTTTATTATTTTAATATAAAATTGATTAAAAAACAAAAAAAAATGCCCAGTTTTTTCCAACAGCTATAATGATGTAAACTATTTCATTGACACAAAAATGAGTCATTGTTTGCCTTACTTTTATGACTTTCCAGTAATTTTAAGGTTCTATTACTTATTTTTATGATTGTTGTGATTCATAAGTACATAAGTGGTGTAAATACATATTGGGATTAATATTATATATACATTTATATATAGGGTGAGTCATTTAACTTGGCAATGGAATGAAAAAAATCAATTTTGTTCGATTTTTCTTCTGTATACGATTCTGCAATAATTTTTCTATAAAAATATCACTTTTTTGGTAATAATTATCTTATTAAATTAAATCTGAATTTTTAAGTACCCACGATTTTTTAACTAATATTTAAGTTTCCTTTGGTTTAAGTTTTATACATTATTTCATTCGGTGGTAATTATCAATTGCGCACCATGGTCACTTTTTACCTGCAGGTATACCAGCATTAAATCCTTTAATTTAAAGGATTATTGTACTATTTTTAATAAAAATACCTCATTTAAAGTAAAAAACATTATTTTGTCAATTAATTAATTTGATCCTAATTGAGGTATAAAAAATCTATAGTTTAGCATTATTTAATGAATTTAGTTCGAAGATTAATTTGCAAACAAAAGACCTCCTTTCGTTAAGCAGTTATTCATAATGGATTTTTTAACAGTGGAAGAAAAAATAGAAACGATTTTGATTTATGGAGAAGCAGGCAGGAATCTTGATGATGCTGTTAATATCTACGCTCAGCGTTTTCCGGATAAAATTCGATCACGTACTTCATTTCACCGTACAGTCAAGCAGTTTACTACAAACGGGAGTGTTCGACCGAAAAGAAGAGTTGTTTTTGCCCAAGAGCATATATTGTAAAAAAGAAACCACAGAAACTTGTTTTGCTACCACTAACGCCATATCCTTCTAATTTATTTGTAAATAGTT